CCTCCTCACCTCTCGGGAGGGGGCTTGGGGCTTCTCCGGCGGCAGTGTCCCAGGGGTTTTCTCGCTCCGGGGGTGACCTCTAGATTTCTGGGGCTTGGAACGCCTCCATCTTCCATGGATCTTTGGGGGCAGGTCTGTGGCCACTCATACTCACTATTGAATACTCTTATAAGAGAAACCTTACATACTCAAGCGCATGTACGCACACAGGTTCTCTCACAAGTATGCACTTGGGCATTTTTCACACGTAACCTAAGGCTGTGGTTGGCACTAAATGTACTATTTTTCTGCAGGTCTAGAAGCAGATTCTTCTACATCCTTTGTTGTTTTTCTCTTATCCTATGTCTTCCTTTCTTCTACTCCCTTTCAACCGAAAATATTTCTAATAAAGTTTTGGTACCAGGCGTGGCATTAAAGCAGAAGCTATACTGCTCCACCTGTGAGAGTAAAACTGTAAGCCTTCTCTTCGGCATTCAGACATCAATTCTGATTGCTTTACAGCCAGACAGGACACACGGGGAGAAAAGATGGCGAGTGCATGAAGAGGTGGAGGTGAATGAGGGCCAAATTGGATCGTGTTAAAAAGTATCTGGAAAAAAAATAAAACACAACAGTATGATACTCCAGAAAAGCACCAGGAAAAGCGCTACGCCCTCTGTTTTCCTGAATTGCTTTGCAACACTCCCCAGGAGATGGAGAAATCCGAAGCCAAAAAGTGTCAGTGCGTGTGCGTCTCACCCTTGTGGAGCTGACACAGAAGCATGAACTAGGCTTAACTCCAGCTTTCCACTGGATGCGTAAGCGGCGTGTAACATCATTGATCTGATTACCCAGCGAGTTCCCTTGCAACCAGGAGCGTTTCAGATGCAAAATGGCAGCAAACGTGTTCCATGCAACTGGTCCTGCAAGCTCACAAAATGACTAGAGAACTGCAGGACTGTAAGTCTGTCAGTTTATGCAACAACAAGTAAAGAGAAAGATGGGAGCATGTATCCAAAATGTCTTTGCTTTATATTAAATCTAATGTTAAAGCAGTTTTAGCAAATTTGCAAACAAGCTAGATTTTGAACGCAAACTCGGTCAACAGAACTCTCACCTCTGGTATCTTCCCTGGATCTGCTTCCACCAGAAACGAAATCCCACACTGCCAGTGGATACGAGATAGTGCTAAACACCAGTCATCATTTTCTTGATCCAAACGTCTTCTTGTTTTTCTTTTTGGATCTTGCTTTCGGTCCGAAACGTGTTATTTCGCGGAGGTTTTCAGAGGGAAGCACTTTAATAGTTTTTCTCATTTTTGTTTTTTCTTTTCCCAATATATTTAAAGCTACACTATGTTAGAACGTTGTTAAGAGACATGGAAAAAATGTCTTAAGCTAATTTATTTTTTCAAAATTTTCTATTGCAGCTTTAACATTTCTATGCTACAAAAGAAATAACCACGCAAGTGAATCTGGTCTCCTCCAAAAAGATAAACAACAACTGATTTAGAAAGTGTCCAGAATTTACCCTTACCAGATTTTCCCAACTGGCTCTGGTTCATGCAGAAGAGCAACAGCTCTGCTCTGAGCTCCACACCCTATCCCTAAGGGTGAGTCTATTAGGGCTGTCACGGTAACCGCAAAAATGAAATATCGCAATATGAAGAAGCCCACCGCGCTGCATCATGGGCCACCGCGATTACCGAACTTCATTCAACTCAATGATGCATGTTGAGAAGGATGGCTGCACTGGTATCAAAACAAAACGTTACTTTGCTCCTTTGGGAGCACTTTGGTTTTCAGTACGTCAGCTGCTGTGCAGCCAGAGTCCTTGGCCGAGACAGAGCTGCCACCAGCGGCAAAAAATAAAAAATAAAATAAACGCTCGGAGACCTGCTGAAGTCCCGGACAAGCACTGCTTCTGCAACCGTCCCGAAGAGAGTTTGAGCCGAGCTGGAGCTCACTCGCTACCTGTAGGAGGAATGCATCCACCCTAAAGAACCCCCCTGACATGGTGGAGCAACAACCGGGAGAGATTCCCTTTGCTCGCCAGAGTCGCACGCAAGTACGTGTGCGTTAGTGCAACAAGCGCACCATCCGAGAGGGTTTTCAGTGTTGCTGGAAATGTTGCCTCCCCTCTCAGATCCTCTCTCAAACCGTATATGGTTAACATGCTGGTTTTCCTTGTGGGTAACAAGGATGTGACCGAGCTATAAATCACCGTCATTCGTGTGTGTGAAAGTGAAAGTGAAATGATAGTGCCCCGCGCCCGGTACATGTAATTTTTTATGCTTGATTTTTAAACAACTAAACAAAATGGGGACTTGTTTCTTATTTGTTAGATGCTGCAGCCAAATTTGCATTTAAAAGTTTAACCTTCTCCTGAATTTTGTTGTTTTTAAGTTCAGTCGGACTCCGACTGTCGGAGAAACAAACGTTACTGCGATCTGTGTTGTTACTGCCCTTTGATCTGCATTCAGTAAAGTGTTATAAAAGAAGGCACGGCAATTTTTAACCTTTTTTAAATGTGTAAGCATTATGTTTAGATAGTACTGCAATAAAAAAAAATAAGTGCTGCAACAATATCGCACACCGCAATATTAAGCCGCCCTGAATCACCGCATGGGGAATTCCTCAACCGCGACAGGCCTAGAGTCTATCCTCTCTGCAGTCAATGGCTTATGTCACTTTTTTATGCATTACCCACAACCTTTCTTTACTCATCTTATGTATAGGACCAGCACCTTGAGGTAGTTTTTGCAATTTCATTGTGCCTACATCATGTTCTGTCATTGGATGACAATAAACCTTCTAATTTTGAACGTTCATGACCATAACTGAGGATTGAAACGCAGATTGGTTGGTAAATTGACAGCCTTGCTTTGTAACTCGGCTGTCATTTCAAAACGAAAATTGGTTAAATGTCTGCAGCACTACAGATGCTGCCCCAATCTGCCAATCAATCTTGTGCTTCACTCATCAGTGAATAATACCCCTAGATTTTTAATCTCCTCCACCTTCAAACTCAATCCCAATCCAGAGTTGGAAATCCATCCTTTGTCCATCTCAAATTTGAGGTATAATTGTCTTTGGAGTTATTATTGCATGTTTCAATATGCTTGCAGAGTTCATTCACTGTAAACAGTGACAGCAATTGAAAGCAAACTGAAAGCGGCAAAAGTGAACAAACAATGCACGTCAAACCCAGGCTGAAGCATCTTCCGACTGTCATCATGCACAGATGTATCAGTTCCTCCTACCCACCAGACATTCTTGGCAACATTCAATAAAAAGGCACTATTTTTTATCTAGCAGCCGTGGAAACTAAAGAGAAAGCTGGCAAGTATCTCTCTACAAAGCAGGAGTGTTTGAGGCTCAGCATCGCCGTTTGAGATATTCTTTCAAACGCAGAGATCTAGGTAGTCTTTGTGATCTTTTCTCATTTCCAGAAATAACTGTGTTGATCGCTACACTTTCAGTAACACTCGTATGTGGAGGAGCAGCTGTAGAACTGCAGTTCAGTAAGTTTATTTGTTTGGATATTTTTCATGTTTGGAAAAAAATGCACTGATCACATGGCATAATGGAGAACTATGACAACATTGATGGTTTATTTCTTTTCTACTTTTTATTCCAATTGGTTTTACTGATATTGACTTCATGTTGAAGGAAGGCATTCCATACGCCACAAATAAAGGTATGCTAATAAAGAAATGAAATGCAAGTGTTGTTCTTAATAAAGTAACACAGCAGTTTCCTGACCCTCCGCCCTACTGGTTGAAAGTGGATTTACATAAACAACCCTGCTGCAGCCTGCTGCAGCTAGCACTAACAACAAACTTAACATTAACATGAGCCAACTAATACTAAAACTACGAAGTAAAAAGAACCACAGTGTGGCACACAAGACCTGTAGCAACAACGCCAGATCACCCAGTCCCTGATTTTGTGGCCTCCTAGTGCCAACGTTCACTTTTAGCTCTATGCTTCACCTCCAAATACATTACTCTCTTAAGCCTGATTCATGCTTCTCCATCTGCGTCAGTGCGGAGACACTCAACGCCATTATCCGTAATTGCGGGCGTGCTGGAGTGCCTGGCAAGGACGGACGGAGTCGACCTCTCTTTTCTAAACATCCGTCAGTCGAGACGGAGAACGCAAGCTTGTGATTGGTCAGAGCACCGCTGTCGTCTACACCGCCACCATTGCGCTCTCTAAAACATAAAGAGAGCCGAGAATAACAAGCGGCAGACACGGAGAAGCTTGAAGAATACCTCGCAGAAAATCTCTGAAAATATGAACGTTTAATTCCCCCGTGACTGGAGGACTGAAAAGATGCGCAGCAAGCGTTTTATTTGTGGACGGAAATGACAGGAAACGTGGGTTTAGAGGTGGTGAGCGCATGAAGAGGTGGAGGTGACTGAGAGACAAATTTGTCTGTGTTAAAAAGTCTCTTAAATACAAAAAACACAATATAAACACACTATCTTGGACCGGATACATGACAGGATACCACAGAACAGCGCTACGCCCTCTGTTGTCCTGGCAGGGAATTGCTTTGCAACACTCCCCAGGAGACGGAGAAGTATGAGAGCAAAACGCTTCCATCAATCCGTGCATGTCTGTCCCTTGCGGAGCTGATGGATAAGCATGCTTTACTTTTACTTCCAAGCCTCACCATGATGCCACCAAAAAAAGCTAACTTATTTTTCTTCCTCGCGTGTTTTTTATTGACAGTCTATGTAAACTGAAAATGCTAACTGCTAGCATTACAGCTAACATATGAAAAGCCACCCTCTTTAGGGGTGCAGAGTGGTGTCAAATATGAAACTGGTCAAGTTTCTAACCCACCAATCACAGAGATCAATGTTAAAGCTCTACCTCAAAGTCAAAAAAGAAAACGTATCTATTGTTACTTTAAGAGGAAACATTCTCATACCAATGTGTCTTCCTATAGCATTTATTCAAAAAGTAAACAAGAGCACTGAGTGGTAGATAAAGTTACTGAATTGGACTTACCATTGTTGCCGAAGTCCAGTGAGTACTTGACCACATGGTAGTTATTCCATACGTACAGCAGGTTGTCTCTTGGGTTGTAATCCACTGCAGCTATATACTGGTAGGAATTAGGGAATGGTATGTTCACTGTCATTTCCTTGCTCTTGTCAGTATTGTACATGTAGTCAATCTTGTTCCCCGTCCCTTCATTGTCATCGTCTTCATAGACAGTTTTGACAACGTACAAGACTCCGCAGATCATGAAGGCATTGGAGGCAGAGCGCTTATCGTAGCTGGTGTCCCAGGACCCTTCAATGCGTAGGGTGTAAGGGTTGAGCTGGCTCACAACAATGCGTCCATTGTTCTGCTCTGTTGCATAGATCACCCACAGTCCATTCTCATCCACAGCAAGGTCGATGTCCGACTTGCCCCCCCAACGGTATGGTGAGGTGTCATGGTAGTTGGCATTCGCAATAATTGCCTCTCCACTTTTGATGCGGGTGCGCAGGTCAAACTTCACAATGTTTCGGGTGCGCTCCTTGTTAAAGAATAGCGCCCCATCGTAAACAACAAAACCGGTCCCATCCACTCGATGAGGCAGTTTGTATGTGGTGGTCGGCCGGCCTGCGATGAAGTCCTCTTTTGATGAATACTCTGTAAGTGTGTCAGTGCGATATGGAGTCCATGGCATATAGTATATCTTATCGGAGGCTTGAAGGGGGTCTTTGCACCACGCGCCTGACTGGTGGTCAGACTCAAAGAGATGTTCATTTTGGTAGACTCCTCGTAGAATGCCAGGACACAGAAAAACTGGGGGAACAAGACCATAGTATGAGCAACTTGATATAAATGGTAAATGGTCTGTATTTGATATAGCGCCTTCTAGAGTCCTGAAACCCCCCAAGGCGCTTTACAACACAATCAGTCATTCACCCATTCACACACACATTCACACACTGGTGGGGATGAGCTACACTGTAGCCACAGCTGCCCTGGGGCACACTGACAGAGGCGAGGCTGCCGAGCACTGGCGCCACCGGTCCCTCCGACCACCACCAGCAGGCAACGTGGGTTAAGTGTCTTGCCCAAGGACACAAAGACAGCGACAGACTGAGCGGGGCTCGAACCTGCAACCTTCCGATTGCGGGGCGAGCACTTAACTCCTGTGCCACCGTCGCCCCATATGAATGCACAAAACATTCTAACTCAACAACACTTGAGTTAGGATGACACGATAGATTTACAGAAGTGGAATTTAGATCTTGTAAAGTCACAGCCATTCTTAAACAGACCAACATCACGCCTTCCATTTAACAGATCACACCCTGCTCTCACAGTGAAGAGATAGAGAAAATGGCACATTTTGTTCTACTTCCACACTTTCTCTCTATTCCCATTTCTTCCTCCCAGCTCAGTTCCTCATTAGACTCACAACTTTTTCTTCACTTTTTTCCCTTTCTATTTCTGTCAGTAACCACCAACTGCAGAAGCGAGCACATCTTTTGTCATACACTGTTTTTTTTATTTTTTTCAAGTAGTTACAATAATTATTTTCCCACTCCATGCTCAGCCTCCCTGTCTTGGGATACTGAGATCATGTTTTACGAGAGATGTGGGAGATGGAAGAAACTCAGGGAAGTCACTGCAACCAATCATAGGGGCCATTGTAATTTGACTGGAATGCTGTTGCATCTGCACAGAAGATACAGGCATGCCAGATGTGTGCTGTGGTTTTCCCATTCTTCTTAGTGGTACAAATCCAGATACAACACACTTCAGGAAAGCCTGAGCATATTGATGGAATATTAGCTGGCTTTACAGAGAGATGGATTAGCAATATAAAATGCCATTATAACTCTCTGTTTAATGGCTCGTTATAAAAATGTTCTCAACCCATTGAGAGCATGTTAAGTGACATTCCACACAATGCCATGGCATAATATGGCCCTAGAGTGTATCTAATGAGAACTGGTGTTGCTAAATTGCCTCTATATGCAAGCTGTCTTAATATAGCAACCATATTTCCACAAGGAGAAAAACATTTCAGGTGCTGGCATCTAAATTTCAGATCCAATCCCAGATTTTGAGCACTTGTGCGTGAGTGTTTTGAATGAGTGACTTACCTTTTTGTTCCACTTCTGCACACATCATAGGTAAAAGATTGGTAGGGAGGGGGAAATAAGGGAACAAGAGAAAGAAAGAGACAAGAGACAAAAATAGATTAATGATGCAATAATAAGGAAATCATGATAATACAATCTTGGATCTCCATAATCGTCCTCATATTTCATCCTAACCTTGTGAGAGCGCCAGGATGCTCCCCGTGTGTGATTGGTAATAACATTACATAAGTGTTTGAAGATGCTGCGCTGTAACAGGGAAGCTATCTGACAGTACTGCATATCTCATATGTTGCACATGTGGAGACGCACATGCTAGACGGATACACGCACACACACACACACACAAAGGGTGGGAAAAAAATTCTGACATCAAACACACAAGAAGAGCATAACACAAGCACACATGTGCTCACAGCGCCCCTGGTGGTCCTACCCCTCATGAAGAGCAAAACAAAACAAAATGACCCGAGATAATGAGCTCTATAATGTACGCTAATAGCAACAGAACAATGAAAACTAGAAAACTGATGTGATTACTGGGATTGCTTTTCAGAGTACTAGCTAAAACTACTATATTAAGATGCATTGTGATGTTCACGTTCTGTGTATGTCATGTAATTTTACTTATTTATGTATTTATTTATTTATTTAGTGACTGTGTGTGAGCTAGCAAGCATCTGTGTGAGGGAGGGCAGTAAGCTTCAACACCAATTCCCTCGAAAAGCTCAGTGCATAGAGCTTCTCAACACCGTACAATGAAATGTGCACACTTGCTAGAAACATCTTAAACATATGAATTTCATTCTTCCTCAGTCCCATGGGGACAGAGTGGAATGTGAACATGGCAGAAACCTAATCCTGCAGGCAGTGCCCTTGTGTCTTTCAAGACTGTGAGAGACCTGCTGCATGGAAGTAGTCCCCTGAGAGGCCAGAGGAAAGAAAGGATGAGGGACAAGAGAGGAGAGGAGAGGAGAGGAGAGGAGAGGAGAGGAGAGGAGAGGAGAGTCCTCAAAGGAAAAATATTTCATCTAACTTCTGGATGGCACAGTTTATATATATATGGGGAGTTTGGCTCGTGTGCAAAAAGAAAGGGACAGTAACGTGGGATTTAAAAGTTAAAATGATGATCAAAGTTAAAATGATGATCAGGTTTATTTACAACTACAAAAAACATAAATCTTTCCATCCACAGGTTGGGAATAATAAAACTAATTCTGCCTGTGGGAAATTAAAACAAAAGTACAAATAAGTAGGGATGTCCCACTGGGCAAAGATTACAGGGATCTGGACCAAAATAAGGACCTCCAAAGGTCCAAACTCTAAACTGGGAGGTTAAACCAAACTCAAGGTGATATTTTACACTAAACCGAAAACCCACAACAATCTAAATGTAATAAAAGGGAGATCTACACACAAAAAGATGAACTCTAAACCAAAACGTAACAGCTTATCCAAACACAAGAAGCTGTTAGCGAAAATGCTAACAGTAGCTTTACCAACGTTAAGTTGCCAAGTTTAAATAAACCAAAAACACCCAGCAGCAAACAGACCAGCACAGAGGAGAGACTGCTACCACCAAAACAGCTCTCCTAATGTCTGAAAGAAGCTCCTTTATGAAGGCAGAAACGCTCCCGGTGATTTTCTACATCTGCGATAGAGACAGAGCAGCGCATCTGACCCCGGAAGTTGTCCGTTGCCGGGAGACGAAGGCGGGCAAAACAGAAAAGGAATCTAGTAGCGGACAGACATTGTTCCGGGTCTTCGGTATTTGGTGGAGATGTTAGTGAAGGTGGAGAAAAGGGTGAACTAGAGGAAAAACAGGCAGATTCCACCTCTATTTACAAACTCCTGTGGATGCAACAAGTGGGCGCGGTGCGTCGACTACCAGATCTGACGTCGACAAATTTTTAGAATCGAGCCGTCGACGTCATCGACGCTTCGCTTAGGGCTGTAGCGAGGCTTCGATGACGTCGACGGCTCGATTCTAAAAATTCGTCGACGTCAGATCCGGTAGTCGACGCACCGCGCCCACTTGTTGCATCCCCAGGAGTTTGTAAATAGAGGTGGAATCTGCCTGTTTTTCCTCTAGTTCGCCCTCTTCTCCGCCTTCACTAACATCTCAGCCAAATACCGAAGACCCGAAACAAAGTCCATCCGCTACTAGGTTCCTTTCCTGTTTTGCCCGCCTTCGTTTCCCGGCAACGGACAACAGCTTCCGGGGTCAAATGCGCTGCTCCGTCTCTATAGCAGATGTAGAAAATCACCGGGAGCGTTTCTGCCTTCATTAAGGAGCTTCTTTCAGACATTAGGAGAGCTGTTTTGGTGGTAGCAGTCTCTCCTCCGAGCTGGTCTGTTTGCTGCTGGGTGTTTTTGGTTTATTTAAACTTGGCAACTTAACGTTGGTAAAGCTACTGTTAGCATTTTCGCTAACAGCTTCTTGCGTTTGGATAAGCTGTTACGTTTTGGTTTAGAGTTCATCTTTTTTCAATCCAATCCAATCCAATTTTATTTATAAAGCGCATTCACAAGGCATTACAACCAAACAAGGCGCTGTACACTAGAAATGTTGGTTAATTAAACAAGCGATATTTAAACATGTTGAACACATATAAAAAATAATAATTTGTGGTACAAATTAATAAATGTCTAAATGTAATAAAATCTCCCTTTTGTTACATTTAGAGTGTTTTGGGTTTTCGGTTTAGTTTAAAATATCACCTTGAGGTTGGTTTAACCGCCCAGTTTAGAGTTTGGAACTTTGGAGATTCTTATTTTGGTCCAAAACCCTGTAATCTTTGCACAGTGGGACATCCCTAGTTATCTGTACTTTTGTTTTAATTCCCCACAGGCAGAATTAGTTTTATTACTCCCAACCTGTGGATGGAAAGATTTGGTTTTTTGTAGTTGTAAATAAACCCGATCATCATTTTAACTTTTAAATCCCACATTATTGTCCCTTCCTTTTTGCACACGAGCCAAACTCCCCAGGAAGAGTCGTAACACCACTCGCCTCACGCACATAAGTGACCAAGACGAAGCAGCATGGAGACACTCCGACTCCAACCACCTCTCAGGCAGCAGCCTGCACTCCCAAGTTCTACACGTCACCAGAACATAACCAACCACAACACAATAAAAGCAGTGTTATACAAAATGGGAGGCCTGTAGTGTTTATTCTCTTACAGTAACAATTAATCAATTTTTTGGAGGAATTTATTAGAGATTTTTTTGGTTTTTATTAACAATAGCAATAGAAAAATAATCATTAGATTAATTGTATAAATAGTCATTAGAATAGTCGACTATTCGATAAAATAATCGTCAGAATAATCGTTTTAAAAATAATCGTTTACCCCCAGCCCTAGCTTCGCTACAGCCCTACTATGGGGCCATTTTAATCTGTGAAGCACTTGGAGTAGCATTTTTTTGTATGAAAAGTGCTTTATAAATAAAGTTGATTTGATTTGATTGATATATATATACATATATATATATATATATATATATATATATATATATATATATATATATATATATATATATATGTATGTATGTATGTATATATATATATATATATATATATATATATATATATATATATCCTGGATGGGAGATAAAATTACCTAACAGATATATATATATATATATATATATATATATATATATATATATATATATATATATATATAGCACACATGCACTACATTTAACACGCCTCATGCTAAAATCTTCAACACACTAGAGTTTGAACTCATCACCAGCAACAGGACAAACACAACGTGTGAGGAATAGAAAGGAATAGGCATGAACACACAAAAACACACATACACACAAGCAACCATTAAATGCTCGGCTCATGAAAAATGCATGGTAACTGGTGCGGCTTAGCACATCTCCCGATAAATAAGCAATCTCCGGAAGAAGATCGTGTTGAATTCAGAACCTGAAACGTGTGTTCATGCATTTCTGTGTGTGTTTCTTGAAGAGGTAAGATATGGCATGGTTCAACACATCAGGAACTTTCTTGTGAGGGAAACTGGTAAAGGGAAGTAGAAAATATGCCGGGGGATGGAACCACAAATACTAGGGAACTGAAGAGGAACACAGACACAGCCGTGGTCAAATGTTCTGAGAGTCAATTATAAAATGTCACAAAGGTTGCTATTTCAGTTTAATGATTGCTATTTGCATAAACTTTGCAATGTGATGAAAACTAATCAGATTTGTTGCAAGTCCTTCTTTGTCCTGAAAATAAACTTGATAACAAAAAACCCCCAAATTCCACCATATTAAGTCTTACGGGAGGTTCAAAAAGCAAAACTGTGAGTAGAAGAATTTTGGAGGATGACCTCAAGAAGGACAAGCACAATAGTTATAGAAAGCTCCTAGAAATATTGAAATTCTAGAAAAGGTCCAGCCGCTGGACCGCCGAGAGCTGGGCTCACATCATTTTCTCTGATGAGTACTCCCTCTGGTTGTTTAGGACATAAGGAAAAAAAAATTGACCCAGAGAAGAGAAAGTGAGAAGTACCATCAGTCCTGCCAACAGTAAAAGATCCGGAGAGCATTCATGTAATAAGTTTAGTTAGACGGATCTCACGTTGTCCTGGCTTTTCCTATTTTTGTGTTTTTTTTTTATGTCAAATCTTATCTTATCAAATAAGAAATATAGTTGATTTTGTCTTTGTCTCCTACAGGCCGTCAGTCTGACGGCTCTATTGTTTACATGGTAAAGTTTTCCTGCAGATGAAGGACAGTTGACTCTCATTGATTTTTCGTCTAAAATTGCTGCTAAAGCAGCTTTTAGAAGGATGTTCTCAGCGAAACATGAATTAGAAATGAAGCTGCTTCAGGCGGAGAGGGGATCGCTAATGAAAACTGGTCAGTAGGAAGCGGCTGAGACTCAGGCAGCAACGCAGAAGATGATCTCCGACACCCCGCCCCCACCCACGGAAAGGAGCCGAGTCTGTCACCCAGCAAACAATAGAGGCTTCTTTTCTTTTGGACTAAAATGA